ATACTAATGAAAATTTAATTCCTGATCAGAAATAGACATATTTTATATTAATATCAATAATTCACATTTTAAATAGTACAAATTTAATTATTGATATCAAAAATGCATCCTGTGAATTAATAAAAGCTAAAATGGCTTGCCATTGCATGTCACTGTGTTTTAAATGATAAAAGCAGTAATTGATACTTGATGGTTATTATTTACTGAGGGATGTAGAGTACATCCATATTGACCAGTATGTCCAGCCAATCAACATTTTAAATGCAATATAGTCAATATCAATAGATTGCTTTCCATCTTGCTTTATTGCAGAGTTGTAACTAAACTGACTAGATAATCATTGTCTTGTTTTAAAAGTATGGGCGCCTAATGAGGAGTGCCATCAGGGCCATATTGTACTGGTAACTGGTCCCCATAGATGTTTTACTGGAAAGTGCGCGTTTTATTTTGTGCACGCGCATATGAACTCATGTTAATGCACGACGCGGTTATCTTTTCCCAGCTGCAGTTTAAAAACAAACACCGTTGCCCTTTGTATTATCAAACGTAATAAATATTTCTATCTCCCTTTTTCTTTTTGTCAGGCACAGAACACAGCCCTGGAAGTGGCCGGCATTAGCAAGCAAGACACAAAAAGACCAAAAGATGCACTGCTGCTAGGTTAGACAGACAGATAGAGAGAGATGCACATCAACTTAACTTTACTGTTCTGTGCTGACATCAAACTTGGAGAGGAGAGAACACAAGTCTGCCTGATCGCTGTTCCCGCAATTCACTCTCATGGTGTTTTTCTCTCAGTCTCTCTTTTTGTGACCAGAAGGATAGTTCCGCTTAATTATCTCATCGCTGTTGTAAACTTTGATTGATGCGCTTTGACATGAGGGGGAGGCGGGGCCTTGAGTCTTTTGCAGGGCCCTACGCAACTTGCGTAGTGTGCGTATAGGGAGGATCGGCTCTGCGCTTGTCCTTAAAGAGATACTGCACCCAGAAATAAAAATTCTGTCATTATTTACTCCCTCTAATGTTGTTCCAAACCTGTATTAATTTCTTTCTTGTGCTTAAATATACTATGGAAGTCACTGGAGTACAGCAACTGTTTGGTTAGCCACATTCTTCCAAATAACTTTTATTTTCAACAGAAGACATTTATTTGGGTTTAAAACAACTTGAGAGAGTAAATGATGACAATTTAAATTTTTGGGAGAACTATCCCTTTAATGTTAATAAAACAACAAAACACGAAGAGGAAATCACTCACTGCTCTTGACTGAGAACTTTAATAGAAGCTTTAATAAGCTTTTTTTGCACTTAAAAAAAATACAAATGTACCGGCATCGGGCAAAATTACTTGGAAAATATCGGCATATTGAATATCGGCCAAAATCCAATATCGTGCATCCCTATCCACAAGAACTTGCGCACTCCAAAGACTGCATCTGGAGATGCACTGCATGAAATGTCACTTTTACAATTACAGTAGCGTCATATCTTTAATATAAATGTCACATGGTTTGATATGTTGTTGTGTAATGTAATGGAAAGTGTGACGTTCCAAAACATTTAGGGCCATTGTATGTTCTTGGCAGGTGTTGTCTTAACATGTGGATTTAATAAAGAAATATGTAGATTGTTCTTTGCAATTGGTTAAATGTTACACAACATATCTCTTAGGTATAAGCTTGTTCTCTCTCAGTAGACAGCTTGCTCTGGGAATAATTAGTAAAGTTTTTGTCACCAGCAGCAACAGTCTTTTTGAAATGCTTAGGACTATGTTTATGTCTAGTTTTATTAGTATTGCTTTCTGACTGTTTGTTTTCTTTTTCTTTGTAGTGCCCAGGTGAAAGTATTCGTGACTGGCCTGTTCAGTTTAAACCAAGACATCCCAGCATTCAAAGAACACTTGAGGGATTTCCTTGTACAGATCAAGGTGAGCTGCAAGCCGTTTATCCTACTGAGACAAGGACACTGAGAACCATAATAGTTAATAGCATAATAATGGTTATTGAAATATGTTGTCTTTGTAATAGGCAAATAAATCTGTTTTGATATCAGTAATAATAGTGCCTATGTGGATGAGAGTTCATGGATCGAGGAAATAGATATGGTGTGAGAGAAAGCGTGCTGTCCCTTTGACCTTTAAGGGATCGTGAAGCATGGTGTAACTATATGGGTCATCTGGAGTGCACAGGGACAGAGGCTGTGTGTGAGATCGAGAGAGGGCAATTACTGCAGGGATGACAGCATCCTGGCAGAGCAGTCAGTGCAAGCAGAACCCACTAAATGCTCACACGTTTCTCTGTATACCTGCAGGAGTTTGCAGGCGAGGACACCTCTGATCTGTTTCTGGAGGAGAGGGAGGCTTCGTTGCGCCAGGCCCAGGAGGAAAAACACAAGCTGCAGATGTCTGTGCCTGGCATCCTCAACCCTCACGAAATACCAGAGGAGATGTGCGATTGAGTTCGCATGCAAACATGCAGCGCACACAATCCGCTGACTCCTAAACAAACTAAACACACAGCTAAAGCAGTGTTGTGGCTACTCTTCTGTGGGCCCCCTGTGTGTTTTCTCATAAGTGTGTGTGTGTGAGTACTTTAGGATCTTCCTGTGAGGAGGCGATTTCTGCACTTGGCTGTCTCTTGACCAAAACAATGCCAATATGTAAACGATACCGTCACCCAGTGGCCCTTTTTGCATAGTACGTGTTTCATACACACTTTTATGTATTACCTTTCCATTGTTAACTGCTTACGTTTGGTCACTGTAATCCAAACGATGCATGAAGTGTCACATCTGTACAATTAACTCGCTTGTGCTCGCTTTTTTTCATTGCCCCTCTCCCCGTCTATTTCCTCCTCATGTATTTGTTTATGTATATTATCATGTATAAAGACCAGAGTGCAGTTTGTTGTGTTTGCAGAGAGCTGTATGTGTTCTGGCAGCAGGTAGATGGTACCTAGTGTCAGTGTGTGGGCCAATGAGCTGCGCACCTGATCCAGCCAATGAGAATGTCAACGAATGTCTGTGATTGGTGAGTTTGCAGAGGTGCTGCGTGCTCATTGGCCGGCGTTTCGTGTGTTGGGAAGCCAGAAGTGGTTCGGGACTAAAGTAGATCTCAGCAGAATGTGAAGTAGATCGCTGAGTTGAACTGTCTGATAGATGCTGCTGTGGTTGTGAGTGGGACTTTGAAATGGCGCTCCGTTTGCTTTTTCTACATGGGAGTGTTCAGCAGCCCTCTATGTGTTCATATCAGCATCACTGTACAGCATCTTTACTACCATGGGAACACACAGATGTTTCGTCCTGTTTTGTTGTGGGTGTGCGAGCGTGCGTGCGTGTTGTCGCTAAGCCGACATCAGGTTTTTTGTTTTCCTCAATGAGGACGGTTGCTCCTTTTGTGAGCTTTCATTAAATTGAAGTTTAAAAAAAGTGGTTGAAATATTTATGGGTTCTTGTAGGCTACACCTTTATAACTGCTCATGTTAACTCACTCAGAGACTGCTTTGGAGTTTTTCAAATTGTACTAATTTACATTGTTTACCATGCTGTAGTGCTGCAGGACACTACTTAGAGCAAAATAAATCTCAGTTTACATTTAATTTTGTATTTTTTCATTTTTATCTTTAAGTCCTGTCCAAATAAAACACAATATTTGTATTCAGAGAAAAAGACGTAAATGCCAACATTCTCATTAGGAAGTAGAATGTACCAATCCAAATACTGATGATCAGTGGTGAATTTCCCATTTAATATGTGTTGCATTTGTTGTGAATCTTTTTGAACTGATTAAAGTTGGAAGAATTTTATAATTCTGTCTGATTTCTCTTGGGTTTGTTCTATCTTTTGGGTAAATTCATAGCTGGAGATATGAAGATATGATATCCCTACAGGGATAGTTTCAAATTTCAAAAATGAAAATAGTCATTTGTTTACCCTCATGTGCACTTTCCACACAACACAGAAAAAAATGTTTTTGTCTACAATTAGTCACTGGGATGCAGTGTTGTTTGGACTCCGCCCCCTGCAATCTTCAAAATATCATTACTATTTATATATTATTATAGTGTTTATTGTTTTGAACTAGCTTTCATTTTAATATTTTCAACTTAAGTTTAGGTTTTAATAATTGTATGTACTTTTGTAATTTGTGTTAGTTTTTTATGGCTTTAATTTCGTTTTATTTCTTTTTAGCAGTCAACTTCACTTAACTTCAACTGAAATATTTCTAAAAAATTTTAAAGTTTTGCATCTAATATTTATTCTATTTCAGTTTTTTTTTGTTTTTTTTATCAAAAACTATTTTTAATAGTTTTAGTTAATAACAACACTGTTTCACAGAAGAAAGAATGTCAAACTTATTTGGAATGACATGAGGGTGAGTAAATTGAGTGAACTATCCCAGTAGGCCCAACACCTCCCAACCTCCTCGGGAGAGTTACCTCACATTTCCAAACCCTACCCGGCCTCCACCTGCTCGGATCTAGCAGCTGAGATCCATTTCCTCACTAATGCTTCTCCTCGACTGTGGTTTAAATGAACCTCGTCATCCACTGAGTTCTATCAGTATCCTGCTGTTCGAACAGATCTCGAGAGCGATGTGACTGGCACGGAAGAACAGTGTTGAGTTTCTCCTCTGGTGCAGTTTCCTTGAATCGTTCTACTCTAATATGCACATCCCAAGAATCGCATCTCGTTTTGTGTTCTCACGAGTGATATATCATTTGACATGCCATGACAGTTGTTTGAATGCATCACTGCTGTTTGTTTTTGACTGTGCCAAGTCCCGCACAGCTCTGGAGAAATGATTCAACCAAGTCTCTGGAGTTCCCAGGGAATGTGTTTGGGACTAGAACTTTCAGAAAACACTCAAGTGAAGTTCTGAAGCCCTTGGGATTCCACTGAAGTTCTAGAACTCTGAAAATTCTAGAACTTGGGTTGGAAGTTTTTTAACTGGCTCTGTGATATATTATAATAATAATCTATATCCTGTGAGCTTGTGTGACATGTTAGTTGCCTGCAATAAAATTCACTCTCAAGGAAAGATGAGCTCTCTCCTCCTGACCCACTTTGCAGCCGGAATCCGGTCTGGGGGGGTTCCAGTACGAATTCTTCCAGAAATGCTGTTCAGAGGTCAATCCAGTCCACAACCCCTACTCATTTAAACAGGCAGCTTAGTTTTTAACAAAACCTGTTTAGCATTTTATTTCTGAAAGTATTTTAGTATTTAAAGTATGTAAAGTTTATTTTATACACACTGCCCAGCCCCCCCAAAAAAGACGCTGGTTGGATTAAAATAGACAAATGCTTAAGAGTCTTTGATTGTATCTTTATTGCAGTGATTATTATGTTTCTAGCATGTTATATGTTTGGCAACAGTTCTTCTGATCCTAATTGATGGAGTGTGTAGCTTTTTATTTCTTAAACAACCATCTAGGCAAACACATCATGACCATATTCCAGGATGACAATGTCAAGATTCATCAGGGGAAAGGTTGGGAGGGAGCATGAAGAATCATTTTCACACATGAATTGAGTGAACACCTTAAATGCATTGAATCTCTTTGGGAAGTGCTGGAATAGAGTGCTTGACTCTTGCATTGTCAATACATATAGATGATTATATAATAATAATGTACTAAATTAGATTATGTAAAACATGCCTCATTTTATATATATATATATAATGTGTGTGTGTAATCTTGTGCACATCTGCCACACTATATTCAACGAGTGAAATGTATTTTGCTACAAAAACAGATGCATAAAGAGGTATATGTTCTACATAATCTAATTTACATTATTATTACATAATCATAGAAACTCTGAGAGAAGATGAATGATTCTTCCTGTGCAATGTGGGTCACAACTTGAGAAATAAATCTGAACTGGCTCGTGTAGTAAACTAAGCTTATACTGCCATCTACAGGTGTGATTCGCACTATTTAGTCTGTGAGTTGCTTGTAAAGCAGTGGCTCTCAACCTTTTTGACACCAGGGTCCCCCATTGTCCATAACATACAATAATTAAATTTCAGAATTCCCAAAGTGTTCATTCATCTGAGTGAGCATTCATCTTTTTAACCAATGAATTTACATGATTTTTCCAGTCATTTGTGTTAACTGGATAAGGATTTAGAATTTATTTATTTTTTTACTCACAAATTCTATGTGATCAAATATATTAGAGTGTGGCATAACTATAAAAATAACACGACTTTTCTGGGTCTAGAATATAATTGATTTTTAGTATAGTTTTAGTTTGTTTTAATGCTCGTTTTGTCTTATATTAAATCATTTGATTTAAACAATGTGAGAGTTCATATTAAACTTGATTTTACATAAACATTCCTATTATTAACCATAAAGTAATGAGGAAATACCTAATATTAACGATTATACCTTCATAAAATGATACCATTTTTACCCATTATAGCTAGTTATAGGGAAAGGATAAATGTCAGGTGAAGTGACACAAGTCACCGAGATACAGAGCATCAGGAATCTCTGCCCTTTGACACTGACACAGCTGGCAGTGGCAGCCCTAAACTGTCCCATCATTCCTCTCTTTCTCCCTCTTTGTCTCTCTCCCCAATCCCGGGTACAGTACGAAATACAAGACTATTGAGACTAAGAGGACATCTTAATTTGTTCAATTAGTAACAGTGTAACAATGTATTGACATTGACGCAGTATGTGTTTTAGAGTTACATCAAATATTTTTTTCCCATTGGCTAAGTGTGGCTCCTATTGTTTGCTTTAGGGTATCAGAAGCTTAAACACTTTGTTTTATTATACACGTTCTTCCTACAAGCACATTGTAAAGGAGCAGTAAAGGACACTGCTGGAGGAGAGGTACAGGGGTCAAGAGGAACAGCCATACGAAGTCACACACAAGAATTCCAGGCTGGTGCTCCGGCAACGTCTGGCTGGGTGTAAAAGAGTGTGGTATGGTTGAATATACTTTATTGATAAATATGGGCATGCTAGTTGTTTAAAAGCAAAGCCTCTTAATGGTGGGGGGCGGGCATGTTAGACCAGCATAAGATTTTTTTCTGGTCTAAACTGGTTTGTTGGTTTTATAAGGATTCCTGGTGATCTGGCTTGGAAAATAGTTTGTGACCAGCTTTGATGACAATCTTTGTGAGACCATCTAAAACCAGAAAAACATAGGCTGTTTTTTTTTTTTTTTTTTTTTAAGTATTTTAAGCTATTGATTGAGCTGATTGGATGCATTCAATATCTATTAAAGGGATAGTTCACCCAAAAATTTAAATCCTGTCATCATTTACTCACCCTCAAGTTGTTCCAAACCTGTATGAATTTTTCTTCAGCTGAACACAAAAGAAGATATTTTGTAAAATATTTGTTAACCAAACAGGACCCCATTGAAAAGTAAATGTGATCTATCCCTTTAAACTACTATCCTATAACTACTAATATACCTACTACAATAACTACTAAAGTCAAAATAAATTTCTATCAGTTTCCAGTTTTTTATATTGGTTTGAATAATTGGCTCAAAAATTCGCGACACATCATCACATCAGAGAGAAGCGTTCACGCGCCTCACTGCGAGCGCGTGGATCATCGAAAAGCCAATTCAACTCTCATCCGCTCGACGTGAGGTGAGGAGTGATGAACAACAGGACCTTTCAAAGTATTAAAACAAAAACATGTCAGCAACACTCTGAGTGAGATTTGTCCAGCTCTACAGAGACGGGCTGTTTATCTGAAATGGGATTCCAAGGATGTTATTCCAGGAATAATGTGCTCTGGAGAGACTGTGTCTTGATTTCATAAAGAAACAGCTGAAGCAGTTGAACAGAGGTAGGTCTTTCAAATGATCTTGTCTCACATATTATTTTTCAAATTAAAATTTTAAGCGCGTCAATTGTGGGATACACTTTTCATTTTAATCATAATATCATGTGGTTTTATTAGTAATTTCAATAAATAAATGCAACATTTGCAGTAGGCTATACTTTTGAATATTCACTCGCTTATTGTATTGTTCTTACGTGTAAGATAAACACACTGCGGTGTTTATCTTACACTTTATATTGTTTAGTTAATGTTAATTGAAAGATTTAAGGATCACATGTGATACCCTGATGGTGTTTTATATTTGTGTTCGGCAGTCCCCCATGCACCCTATGTTTCCAGATTCAAGCGTCCTTATATTTGACCAAAAAATGTGTTTCAGTATAAAGACAAGTACATGTACATTTTAACAATATGAATTAATATTATAGTTCATACTTTTTTTACTTACACCATATATAGGCCTACAGTAGGCCACTGTACAGTATAGTAGTAGATTATTTTACAATATGGTACACTTTTTTTTATTGTTATTAGTTTTGCCACTGCAAGCACCACTCACATTTTCTTCAGGAAATGTACATTCTAGTTCCTCTTATTACTAAGTTCTTCTTATTATTTAGCCTATTATTTTCTATAAAAACCAATACTGATGATCTGTCTCAAAGAAAGAAATGCCACTAGTTTTTTTTTTTCTATGTGATCATATTTGGCCAAAAAGCATGCTTTTACTACATTCCAGTAGACTTTAATTATTATTTATGATTAAAATTATGCATTCATATGTTCATCTTTTTTTACTCCACGAACAGCATTTATCCACTGGACAAGAATCCAAAAATTGGAAGAGGATGTCTGGGGTAGATAAAACCCTGAACTCAGAGAAAAGTTTCAGAGTGGTCGTCCGTCTGTGTGCCTGTGAGAACTTACACTCATATCAGAGTTTATTATGCAGTTGGACATGCTGAAGTTTCCATGAAATTGTGTTTTGTTTACCTTTTCCCATTGTTCTGATCTTTATTTCTGCAAACATCCCGAAGCTATATATTTAACCCAATTTTTTTTATTCCTCAGTGTGCAGACCAGAACACTCTGTCTCTATAGATGAACCCAGAGCCTCCATCAAAGTGACACATCTTAACAGAGTAGTTGTTGACACTGGAAGGGTGAGTGTTGAATTGGATGAGATCAAAGATGTAATTTAATTAGATTCTTCATCCTCATTTTGCAAAAACAGAAAGAAATGATTCAAGTGAAACCAACGTATGCATTAAAGTCAAGTTTACTGATTGTCTGTTTTCATTCTGCAGAGTCACAAGCCTCATATTATAGATCTTGATGCAGTTTTAAATGAGGAGGCATCTCAGAGAGATGTTTATGAGTCAACAACAAAGGTTCACAGAATGTTCTTCATAGCAACAGTTACAGCTGTAATCAAAATTATTCAACCCCCATCTAAAATCAGGGTTATTGCCCAAATTTACAGACTTTCAGCTGTTTACAATGAACAAATCAAACAAAATTGAAATTGCTCAACACAACAAATGTTTCAAGTGGTCTCCCCAAATTTAACAAAAAAATTCAACTTTTAATGACTTTTGCATTCTCAAAATTATTCAACCACTTCATGGCAAGTATCTTTAGTACCTACCTAGTAGAACACCCTTTTGCTGTTATTACCTGCTGCAAATGAGATGTATAACCAGACACCAGCTTCTGGCAGCGTTTCTGAGGAATCTTAGCCCATTCCTCATGAGCAATGGCCTCCAGTTCAGTAATATTCTTGGCTTTGCTTGCTGCAACTGCCGCCTTCAAATCCCATCAGAGATTTTCTATGGGGTTCAAGTCAGGTGACTGTGATGGCCATTGTAGAATCTTCCAGGACTTCTTCTGCAACCAAGCCTTGGTGGAATTTGAGGTATTGTCCTGTTGAAAGGTCAAATGACACCCAAGCTCCAGCTTCCTCCCTGACGGCATGACGTTTTCTCCTAGGATTTCCTGATACTTCAATGAATCCATCTTGCCTTCCACACGCTGCAGGTTTCCAGTGCCAGAGGATGCAAAGCAGCCCCAGAGCATCACTGAGCACCACCATGCTTAACTGTAGGCAGAGAGTTCTTTTCAGCATATGCTTCATTCTTCCTCCTCCAGACAGACCGCTGATCCATAGGGACAAAAATTTCCAGTTCTGTTTTATCGCTTCACAGAACAGAATCCCAAAACTTTTGTGGCTTATTTATATGATTTTGAGCACTTTTCTTGTGCTTTTGGGTCAGTAGTGGTGTACGTCCTGGAGTTCTGGCATGCGTTTAGTAAGTGCCTTACTGTGCAAGCTGAAACCTCAGTGCCCGTTGCCACCAAGTCTTGCTGCAGGTCTTTTGCAGTCACTTAAGGTTTTTTTTTTTTTAACATGCCTTCTAAGAAATCTGGATGCAGCCATTGATAGCTTCCTTTTTCTGCCCCGTCCAGGAAGTGTAACCACTGTTCCTTTAACTTTGAACTTGCAAAATATGCTTCCAAGGTGTCTCTAGGAATATTTGAAGAGTTTGGTTCCAAAACGCAATAAATCCATTTAGATTAATTTGAGTAAAAATGTGTTTTCTTTACCAAGAAAGTGGAAAGATGAAAACCACTATTTTCTGTTTCAAGCTTTCACATAGCATTTGTAGGTCATAATAACAAAAAAAAATTAAAATCCAGGTTTTGATTTTCAAAGATTTATTATAAAAATGGATAATTTTTTTCCCCAAAATGCAATAAATCCATTTAAAAACAAAAAATCAAAATACAATTAATCCATTGAATCAATATAAAAGTTTTGGGTTTTTTTCATATTGAAACTGTTGAAAATACACACACTGTAAAAAAACTTAACTCATTATTTTGTGTTATCTTTTTGCATGTTTTTTTTTAGTTTAACTAACTTATTTCGATAAGTTGAGGACAAGAAAACTTAAAATTTCTTGTTGTCTGGACAATCTAGTTATCTCTACACAAAAAAATAAGTTGAAATAACTAAATTGCTAAAATATTTTTTACAGTGCAACAACGTAAGTTTATTACTATAATATTTTTTGTAAGTTTTCACAGACAAAAACACGTACTTTCAAAGATTCACATATTAGTATCAATGTTATATCACTTGTTTAGGCCTATAAGATTTTTTTAAAGATTTTTATTCAACCCATAGCCCTGTTGAGCAAGGTCACCACAAGCTATTGATAGGTAAAGGAATAGCTATCAATAGCTCACAGTGACCTTGCTCAACAGGGCTATGGGTTGAATAATGCCAGAGTTATGCTTCAAGTTTTAAACAATGAATAAAAATCACATTCGTTTTATACACTGAATTTGTTGTCTTGTGCATACTATAAATCCATTGCATTAATATAAAATATGTGTAAAACTGTTCAAAATAGAACTGTAAAGAAGATTGAAAACATTTTTCCTCCTCCCGAGTGCCTCATCTTCTTAATCTCCTCACGTAAATGATTCGATTTCGATGCCTTATGTTTCTTACCCACCGCAGAAACAACCACAGGTTCATCAATGCCGTCAAAATTATTAATTTTTTTGTTTGTTTGTTGATCGAAAAGTACAAAATAGATAAGAAAAACTAGGAAGCCTGGGTGTATTTAAGGCGCTGCCGTTACTGTTTACATTGCGTGGAATGGTGCGTTGTGATTGGTTGAGAGACTGGCGTTTGTCGCGGTTTGGAAATAAAGGGAGAAAACATGTCAGAATAACATGGCGGATATCACATTTTACTTAAAATTAAACAGTGACTTTTCGAATACCAACCAGATACAATACTGATTTTTGCAGTAACTCATTTTTTTTTTTAAATGGCGTTTATCGCGTTTTGGAATCAAACTCTTCATTCAGTGCCTTCGCTATCTTTTTGTATCCTGTTCCTTGTTTGTGAAGGTGATGATATCTTCTCTTAATTTTTTGGACCGTTCTTTTGACGTAGCCATATTTCTAACATGCAGTCAAACATGACACTTAACAATCCTTGCCAGTTCAGATATTTCATGTGTTCTAGCTCAAGCACACCTGGTGCAACTAATAAAGCCCTTGATTATAGTTGCATCAGGTGTGCTTGGGAAAACACCTGTTTTGCAGATTTGTGCTTTTCTGAGGGATTCTATTTAGGGGGTTGAATAATTCTGAGATTGCAGAAGTCAGTAAAAGTTGGATTTTCAGTTGAATTTGGGGAAACCACTTGAAACATTTGTTATGTTGAGCTATTTCAATTACTTTTGTTTGATTTGTTCATTGCAAACAGCTGAAAGTCTGTCAAATTTGCCAATAAACCTTATTTGCAATGGGGGTTTAATAATTTTGATTACAACTGTATATTCATGTTTCATACTAGTCCTTAATACATTTGCTAATCTCTTTCTTTCTGTCTGCCCCAGTCTCTGGTGGAGTATCTAATGCAGGGTTATAATGGCTGTGTAATTGTCTATGGCTCTCCGGGCAGCGGTAAGACTCACACCATGCAGGGATGCAGCGTTTTAGCCAAACACAGAGGCATCATCAGCCACGTTGCCGAGGACATCTTCACTTGTATCAAACCTTCAGGCTATTGGTTTTAGGAAATCACATTTTAACCAAGATTTCCCCATTCTCTTTTTCAGATAAGAGAGACTTTTAGCACATATTGTAGTAACATTCCACTCCTCATTCATTGCAACACAACAATTCAATGTTTTGTATTCATGCTCTCCAGACTACACATAATAAGACCTGTATAGCAGCATCCTTAAACAAGCCTTAATTTGAATAATCCAGCACCCAAGGCATCTCACTGCAAAATCAGAGTGTCATTCTACCACATCTTCAATGAAAAGATTTATGACCTATTGGTAAGTAATTTATAGTGTAATTAAATAAATAAATCATCTATGAATCAATCACAATTATTTTACATTAATGCATTTGGAAGATTTTATTCAGAGCAACTGATGTCATGACAACATTCCTATGGCCTTGCAATACTGTTTGAGTTACACGAATGTCAAATCAATCAATCATTAAGCATAATTTTCCTCATAAAGCTTGATTAATGTTACATGTATATACACTACTGTTTAAAATTGGTGCCAGTAAGATTTTTAAATATACATATATTTATAAAAAAAAACTAAACTCTTTAAAATTACAGTATTTCTCAATAAAAAATACAATAAAAACAATAATATTTGCAAAAATTATTTCACTTTTAAAAAAAATTTTTTTCCTGTGACGGCAATACTGAATTTTCAGCAGCCCTTCAGTCTTCAGCGTGACATGATCCTTTATAAATCATTCGAATATGCTGATTTGGTGCTCAAGTAACATTTCTTATTATTAATTAAATAATTTCTTTCATGATTCATTTGATAAATAGAAAGACAGAATTTATTCAAAACGGATTTATTTTAAACAATTGTAATAGTTTTTACTGTCACTTTTGATCAAATTGATCAATGCGACCTTGCTGAAAACATTTCTCTTTTTTTTTTAAAAAAAGGAAAAAAAGAATCATACTGACCCCAAGATTTTTAATGGTGGTGTATAGAATTTTGTAAAAACATTTTTAGGGTACCAATAAATTGCATAATTCTATCAAATCCCAGGCTTTGAGAAACTAAAAGAGGAAATTAAGACCTGATGTAACAACAGGTGTTCCGATGCTCCTGTGTCTCTCTTGCATCTGCTCAGGATCCGAAGGGGAGTGAGGTGATCTGGGTGCGGGACTGTGACGAGGTGGTGCATCTTGATGGGTTGACGGAGGTGGAAGTGAGCTCCGCCCAGGATCTGCTACAGGTGCATCGCCGTGGCTCCACCCTCAGGCACACAGGTAACAGAGCCATAACTCAATCTGAGCCCAAATGTTTTGATAGAGCTCATGAGCAAACACCATTTAATCTTAAGTATGATGATCAAAGTGATCTCAGCTTACTTTATTCAATCAATTCAATCAGACTCCTACATTCCTTTTTAAAATTCTGCAGGGATCTCAAAGGGAGATTTTCCAAGCCGATCCCACACGGTATTTAACATTGTGGTCATTAACACAATGGTCCAGTCCCCTGGTAGGTGTTTTTATGTTTTCTAAACATAAACGTCTTTCTAAAGTTTCCCTGAATTATGTTTTTGCACTTTTGCCATGTTTTTATTATCTTATTACATTTGTAAAATAGATTCTTCATAGATGTTTTAGGAGAGTTACATTGACATTCTATTACATTTTTACTTGTTTTTAATGGGTAACTCAGTCCATTTGTCGGTCAATAACTCCCCTCAGTCGACCCCCTACGCATTAGTCAGCTCTAGGAACCTCTGCATCTGGTCTGATTGTTATTGTAGAGAGATATGAACATACCAGAGCCTCCCACAGGGTCTCCCAGTACCCCCTGCAGTGGTGTGTTGCAAACTCACAGTGTTGCAGTGTAATTATTTTATAATACAAATCTGATTAACCACCTCCCTTGTGTATATTTTTATTGAATGGTTGCAGAGGGAGTTTTGACAGCCAGCAAACTCACTCTGGTAAGATGATAGCATCGGAGACTCCTTTTAGCATTACTGAAATGTAAGGTATTCTCTGCATGAAATACACAATCTTGGCATTCTTGTGGTAAGTACCATATTTGCCTGTGAATTAATAAACAATTATGAAACTCACATGATTGTTGCTCTTTGTTAGGTGGATCTGGCAAGCTCAGGAAAAGTAAGTTTATATGTTGAAATGTGTCTGATCATTCTAACAGCTATGATATTTTTAGTCAGAGATTGATTGACCACTATTGATTTGCCTATTATAACATTTAAAAAAACATTTTAAAGGTTTTTGTTATTCGCCTAAAGAAAAAAATGTAGGCCTATGTGATTACATCGATAAGCCAATTGGTGGTGTCTTTACAAACAAATCATTAAAGCCATTAATGAATGATTCTTTACAAACTTGTTCATTCAACTGATTTGTTCAAACACGCTGATTCATTCAGGAAAGAAAAAAAAAATGACTTGCTGAATTCGGGAACCGCATATTAGCATATTACTTTAAAATAGTTTGAGTAATATACTAGTATGCGGTTCCAAATTGAGAAACTATCTTTACAAGTCTTTGGGCTCTATCATACACCCGGCGCAATGCGGCGCCAGGCGAGACTCAAGTGTTTTTTGCTAGTTTCAGCCTGACACAGTTATCATTTTCACATCCTGCGCCACGTTGTTTAAATAGCAATTGCATTTGCGCCCATTTGTGCGCCCATGGGCTGCTGGTCTGAAAACGAGGTGTGTTCAGGCGCTTTGTTGGCGCGTTGCTATTTTGAGGCAACTGAAATAGATTGTGCCATTGACCAACAAAAACCTGGTCTAAAGTCAATGGTGCAGTATTGTTTTTGTTATTTAAAGGGCGCATTAGTAATATGAGCCTATAGGTGGATGCACAATGCGCATACACTGCTTATTACACACAGCAGCACACAAACATGCCAAATATAAAAAATAAAAGGATTACAATTGATTATTATTATAAAGATTATTATTGTTTACATGAAGGTATGGTGGAATCCGGCTTGTCCCGTAGATGGTCTGCTTGCGCGCTTTAACCTCGCACATGAGCAGATCCGTTTCTGGAGACGCTCAGTCTTTCCGCTTGCAAATTCCGCCATGTAAATAGCAAATCTGCCATGGTGCGAGCGCAATGGAGATGGGAATGGGCAACGCATTCTCATCCCAAGGCGTCACTAAAATGACAATTTTGACCATGCTTCAATATTCGACGCTTTAGGCACCCTTTAGCGTCAGTTACATGACGCGATCCTAGGGCGTCATCTTACTGACGCTTTACCTTTAGCGTCAGTTAGATGACGCGGGTAGGTTTAGGTCTGGGGTAGGGTTAGGATTAGATAGCGTCATCTAACTGACGTTAAAGGTAAAGCGTCAGTAAGATGACGCCCTAGGATCGCGTCATGTAACTGACGCTAAAGGGTGCCTAAAGCGTCAAATATTGAAGCATGGTCAAAATGATTCCCAAGGCGTCAGTTTTATGACACCTAGGGATGAGAATGGGCTGGAATGGGAGATGAGACTCTGATTGGTTTTATTGCACGTTACGCCCAAAACACACCCATTACTCATTAAGAGTAGGGACAACCCTTTTAGACCATGCGCCGGGTGCGCCAACCATTTTTCCCATCGTTAAACTAGCAAAAGTGGATTCGGACACGCCCTAAGTGCACTTGCGCCATGCGCTTCTTTAGACCATGCGCTTAGATCGTTAAAATAAGGCCCTTTGAATCTTTGATTCAACTGATTGTTGATTCAATCACTGATGAAACACTATTGTGTTGATCTGTTGCTTGGAGAGGCAATAATTGAAACTAGAAAAAAAAGTTTGTCGAGACAAACTTTAATTTGGCTTGAGAAAGCCAGACCAGAAAGTTTGAAGAAGTTTAAATCAGTTTAAATGAGTTTAAAGTTTAAAGTAGTTTGAAGTTTAGATTAGTTTAAAGTTTAAATTAGTTTATAGTTTAAAGTAGTTTGAAGTTTAAAGTAGTTTATTACTTTATACTACACAAGTGCAAGAAAACAACAACAAAAAAAACATTTCCAAGTTCCAAAAATCCCTGTACTGTCAGAGGCCTTTTTTTCCATTTGCTTGACAGGATAGTTTTTTTTTTTTTTTTTTGGTAAATCTTTACTTCACAAGAAATTGTTTTAATGACTTTCAATAAATAAATAAGAATTTAATTGAAATGATCAATATTGTGTCTAAAATGTAATTTGCTAAAAAATAACTCGAATTGTTGTATTGTCGAATTGCTTATGAATTGTTGTAGAAAAGCAATCTCACAGTGATAACCTGCGACACGTGGTTGATCACAAGAACGTCTTAATAAATACACAGGTTTAGGTGATAAATACGTCGGTTTCAGTTTTAATGTTCACTCTTTCTTTCTCTTTTACTGTCGCGTCAGTGTCGTAGTTCTGTGGCCCCTGACATGAAGAGAACTTTCAATGCCACAAATGAAAACCCGCAAGAGACCAAGATGCTGAAGCGCTCCCTCACCATATTCGGAAATGTTAGTACCTCAAACATGTCAGCAAAAAAGAGCATGTTCTATCTTATTATCACTGTTGTCCCGGTCAGACTAAGGGTATTTTTGAAGAGCAGAGTTTGTTTTGAGTATCTCAAGAAGTACCCCAGAGATTATTTATCAGTCTAAGGGCCCTATCTTAATCATATCAATGTGCTGGCTGCATATGCAAGAAATTAGACACAGGAAATGATCTGTAAGGTTACATAGTTTTCCATTTAGGGAAGGGGGATGTCATGTCACATCTAACAGAGAAAATGATTTCTGCAGAATATTGGCCTCTTCGTCTGATTATTTACATTTAGATAATGTTGAGGCCTCTTCTTCCCTGTTACAAAATTTCTCAGTCAATTTTTTTTTCCAAAATATGAGAGTAAAAAAGAACAATCCTTCCTTTCTTTTTTAGGTGATTTTTGCCCTCAGCTCTGCAGGGTCCCAGCACATCCCATACAGAGAATCCAAACTAACCCGAGCACTTAGGGACTGGTGAGCATCATCAGTATTGCCATAATCATTTCTCCATTTTCTTCAACATTTGTGTAAATTCATTGAATGTTTCTGAATTTGATGTTTATTTTGGTGTCTGGTTTAGTTTGGGAGGGAACTGTCGGACGTGTTTAGTGGTCACAGTGTCATCTCAATCATCTTCAATAACCGAAACTCTCAGCTCTCTTCAGTTTGCCTCCAGAGCCATGGCTGTTCCTTCTCGACCCATATACACATCTCAGTTACATTACACACCTGAACAGGTAAACCCATTCTTCCCATGAACATTTTAATTCTGAAAGCACATACTTTCACTATATACTGTACATCACACTTGAACGAATGCACACAAATCTTAACAGATACATCACACACATACATATTATTCACCTCTCAAAAAAACACCACAATACATTTTATTCTACAATAAATGTCACATTTTGCTACTTTGTACTAATACTTCCTAAAAATGTATTCACTTTTAAATCTTATGATACATTTTTAAATAAATGTTTTTTGTAATGACCATTTATGCACTTAGACATGCACAATACTGGTGAAACCTCACACACAACACTCTTATCTAACTGTTTTCTAAATTAGCTAGTTGTAAATTAAGTAATCTCACAACAATATTCTAGCCATGTGCATATCTGAATGGGAAGAAGGACAGTAATCATCTGAACAGACAGCAGATTTTACCACCGGTCGGATCTGACAGAAGGGTGAGACTCAAGTTCGCACACATACACAGCACATACTCGCATAGACGTAATTTATAGCTTCACTTTAAACCCTGAATGTGTTTGTATGTCAAGTGCCCTTTTGCAGCTGAGTGAGTCGTAAAAATGAAAGGGGCAACTTTTATTGTGCTCATCAGTTTGACTCTTCATTTGAATAGTTTTGCCTCTTTTGGCCGGTTTCTAAAGTTACAGTATAGTGAGAGAACATCAGCAGGACACTATGAGTCAGAGGAGGACTGTGTTCATCCGAATATAAAAAATATAATGTTTAATTGGGACATTCAGACCATGTGTACATTAGAAATGGGAGAAAGATGCCATAGAATTACCATGGAACAAACCTGGGGTCAAATAGGTCACATTCCTTTTTTAACAACTTGTAAAATCTTACAAATTCTTTTAAAGTTATAAAGTACAGCTATATTTTCCAGATTTGGAAAATAATGGCTCTTATGAACCGGTTCTTTATGAAGAGTCAGTCAAAAATTTTAACGAAACAGCCTCGAACTCGCTCAATTTAGCCATTTGAATCAGTCAGTGAATCGTTTAGTGCTATTATTTGAAGTCACAACTGACTCTCATTACTGTTACTGTGCGGTATATGGGCAGTTTTACATCAGTCAATTTACTGATCGATTATTATTAATGATCAATAATGGTATTCTTGGAAAAAAAAGTCTAATAATTTACAAAAAAAAAACTTGTTTTTTGTTTAACATACTAAAGTGTTTTATTTTAGGAGAATTGAAATTCGTGAATAGATATGATTAGATTAGAGCAAACAAGCAATCATTTTTAAACAGTAACTTTCTTAAATTTGACAAGCTTCAATTCCAATTATAGATATTCTTATTTAAATGTCGGATGATAGACCTGTTCTTTATGTTTGATGTTTCATTTATCTCTGCTGTATTTTCAGTCGCAGACATGCTTGCTTCCCATCCTCTTGAGTTCAGTCAGTTCCTCTGAATCTAAACTCAGCTCAAGTCACTGTGGAGATGGGCTGGAGCTCAGAACTTTTCTCCCCCAGTTGGAGAAACCAGGCCAAACTGAACCATCTGGACGTTACTGCCGTGCATCTCGACGTGGAGATGAGAAAAACAGAGCTGATGGTAACAACCTGCATTTTCAGATTTATCCCATAAAATCGGGAGTCACTTCAACATTAAACAAGAACTTTGAACTACTTTGCAGGTAGGATGACCCGCTCCCTGTCCCATTCCCTCTCTGGGGCAATACTCCATGATACTGGAGGGAGAGAAAGAACTGGAAAAGGATTGGAGTTTTCACCTGCACAGCAGCGCGGTTCTGTAGAGCGGCTTTCCACATCCTCTCTTGAACCTTTTTCAGCTCCTTCAGCTGCTGTGGAGTGTCCTAATTGTTCCCGGGAACGAAATATCCGAGAGGAGTATGACAAGATCATTCTTCAGGTTAAGAGAGACAAAGATTATCTGAGTCAAAAAGTAGCAGAACTGGAGAATGAGTTGAAGATGAGAGCAACCCAGGAGAGAGATGATGGGATGAGTTGGGAAAAGAAAAGCGGAAATGAAGAATCTTCCAGCTGCCCATCTGCAGGTCCAGGAATATTACAGACTGCAGAGGTACCAACACATCACAGCATCTAATGTATTGAAAATGTGCTGGGTTATTATGTCACCATTTGTCACTTTGTTCCTATAGAGGAACTCCTATTCCTATTCCACATCATACAACTCTGGGACCCTGGAACTCTTCAGTAATAACAGAGAAAATTTCACAAATCTCAATACAAATTAGCTAAAACCAGTTTGTTAATGAGCACACTCTTATATTGAAAATGTTACATATATTTAAAAATGATTATAATATTTACTTTTTAAATATTATTTTATATATTTTTATGCACGGCATGCATGGTATGAAGTGTTCAGGTAAATATAAATGTCTCAACCTGTTCTACAGGTGTGTTTACAAACAGAAGCAGAGTGTCTGAGAGCAGAGCTGAGCGCATGTCATGAGAGAGAGAGGATGCTGACAAACACGCTGCTCTCTGAGAGAGAGAGACTAACCCAGGATGCCCAGGATATGCTCACACAGCTTAACAGCACCAGAGAGAGGAACGGCCAACTTGTGTCAGCACTTAACAACCAGCAGGCACATATCACACACAGCCTACCAATACTGAGTTTTGGAAAATCTGTTTGATTATATGAACATGTGAAACTACACCAGAAACCTATTTTTATTTAAGATTACATACATTTATTTTATTTACAACATTTGTCGGTGATTGTAGTTTGATATTAGTGATGTAATTGTGCTGTTTGTATGGTAGGAGAGCTTGTTGGCAGAACTACAGACCAGCAGAGAGGAGCTTGTAAAATTTCGAGAGAGTGTGTCTCTTACCCTCAGCCAACTCAAGACTGAAAAGGTTTCATCTCTCTATCCTGTTCTTATAGGCATACGATATTTTTATAGTAGCCTATTTTATATGACAAAATACACACATCTGTGATCACTTGCTACACCACCTACTGGACAATGAAAATGACTTGTGTTGCCCTTTATTGGTAGATTATATGAACTGCAGTTTAATTTCATTTTACAGACTGAACTGATGTTACACTTAGAGGACACAAAAAAATCCTATGAAAAGGTAATCTAAGACACTATCAAAAGTTTGGGGTTGGTATGATTCTTTAATGTTTCTGAAAGAAGTGTCTTATGCTCTAGAAGGCAGCATTTATTTGATCAATAATACAGTAAAAACTGTAATATTGTGACACACAATTGTCACACAAAGCTATCAATTACAATTTAAAATGACTGTTTTCTGTTTGAATATATTTTAAAATGTAATTTATTTCTGATGGCAAAGCTGAATTTCAGTAGTCATTACTCCAGTCCCATTACTCCATGTCACACAATCCTTCAGAAATCATTCTGATATGCTGATTTGGTGCTCAAGAAACATTTCTTCTTATTATTAAACAGTTTAAAATATTTTTGTGGAAACTGATACATTTTTCATTTATTTATCATGATTGTTTTGATCAATTTAATGCATCCTTGGCTTGCTGAATAGTATGTATTAATTCTTTAAAAAAACATACTGACCCCAAAATTTTTATTTATATTTATTTTTTTAAAGAAATAAAAGATTAGATTTTATATGTACTGCTTCTACAGGTGTGCTTGGAAAATGCTGGTTTAAGGCAGAAACTAAAGTCATTTTTGAGGGAGATCAACGCAGCACCCTTTACGGGATCCAGCAGTCCCGACACAAACCCTTCACACACGCACACAGACACAACAAATACTGAGATGATTGTCGTATCACACCATGTGTCTCAGCAATATCCTGCAGGTGTCACAAAAGGCAAGAGATCCATATAATCTCATTTTCAACATTTGAAGAAAAAAAAAACAGCTATAACATCTATATTAACCTTATTCCTTATTCATTGGTTAGGCTGTGTATTGTTGACGACATTTATTGTTTTTGGCAACAGGAAGTGAATGCTGCTTCAGTCAGTGTGAAGGGGTTCAGCATCCTGAGGAGGGGTTTACAGAAAAATTGGAAACCACAAACGACAGCAACTGTGAACAGCCTCTGTATAAACCCCGAAGTCTCTACAAGCAGCTGTGAGCCTCTGTTGAACAAATCTTATGAATACGAGTTTCTGAAACCTGAGACCTTATGTAGTGGGTTCTGTGTGGTTTCTGCAGGAGGAGGGAACACAGTCTGTTACTGGACATGATGCTGGCTCTGTACAGGAGAGAGTGGTTTCAGCAGGATGCCATACCATATGTCAGACGTACGCTCAGGAAGTGTGGACTGAGGCCTGAGGATATAGACTAAAGACTCTGTACTTGTGTGTGAGTGAATGAGAGAGGTGAAAGATGTCCTGTATGAATCACAGGTAAAGTCATAGTTCGCTTAAAGGGATAGTTCACCCAAACATGAAAATTCTCATCATTTACTCACCCTCAATTTGTTCCAAACCTGTATGGATTTCTTTCTTCTACTGAACCAACGCATTCTCACCCCAAGGCGTCACTAAAATGACAATTTTGACCATGCTTCAATATTCGACGCTTTAGGCACCCTTTAGCGTCAGTTACATGACGCGATCCTAGGGCGTCATCTTACTGACGCTTTACCTAAGCGTCAGTTAGATGACGCGGGTAGGTTTAGGTCTGGGGTAGGGTTAGGATTAGATAGCGTCATCTAACTGACGTTAAAGGTAAAGCGTCAGTAAGATGACGCCCTAGGATCGCGTCATGTAACTGACGCTAAAGGGTGCCTAAAGCGTCGAATATTGAAGCATGGTCAAAATGATTCCCAAGGCGTCAGTTTCATGACGCCTAGGGATGAGAATGGGCTGACTGAACACAAAAGAAGATTTTGAAGAACTAATTACACTGAATGGGTTAAAAAGTCCACAAAAGCACTGTAAAATTATCATAAAATTCATTAATTACCAAAAGTCATATAATAGCTTTGTGTGAGTAAGAGACCAATATTTAAGTTGTTATTCACTTAAAATATTGGAATCCACTCATAGGAGATCATGAGAGTTCATAAGCCAAGTTACAATGTCCGATTTACGAGTGAATTGTTGTTTTAACTCGGTTATCACAGCACCTGAAAATGACTGACGTTTATCAGTAAATTGTCACACAAAGCTATCATATGACTTCAGAAGACTTAGAATATAGTGCATGAGCCATATGGTCTACTTTTATGATACATGAATTATGCTTTTACATTTTTCTTTTTAAGTTGAAAGCTTCAGTCCCTATTACAATTGCATGCAAAAGAATGACCAGAAAAGTATATTCATATTCTACAGAAGAAAAAGTCATACAGGTTACACAGGAACAATCACAGTGAGTCAATTTGGGGGGGAAAATCACTAATCTTTTTGTGAATCACTTTGAAACTTACATGATAGTATATTTAAATTAACTAAGGGTAGAATAAAGCAAAAGCTGTTCCTTTTTTAGCTAACAAAGTGATGAACTTTGCACCCAACATCATCATGTTTGTATCATATCATTTCAGTTATTTAACACAGTAATTTAGTCCATTTAAAATCCAGCTGAAAATGTCTTCACCAACTCTGTTACACAAAAGACATATAATAGAGACTATTAAGTGATTGGTTTGTGAGTTTATTTATTGGCTACATGATTTTTACTCCACAGTAACACAATGAAAAACCAAAACATATACCTCTTTCTATCACAATATATAGTTACAGAGTTTTACAACTGATGAAAAGTTGTTTGTATTGTGGGTATGGTTTAGTCTATGTCAGCATTTAGACACTGATGTAGTCACTCTTGCAGGTGTTCGGGGGTTCTTGGCTGTTGCAGAGGCTGGTTCTGCGTAGGGGATGAATGTAGGACCAGTCTCGGTCTCTCTCTCTGTTGCTCTTTCTTTTCATTTCTTCCTCCACCTGCAGCACACCCTTGTTTTTCCATTTTCTGAGGTTGCTGCTGCAGCGTGATATACCTGTGTTCTGTGGCCTTGAAAATTCATCATCATACTCATTCTCGGCCTCCTCTCCCTCCTGCAGTGTGTCCTCCAGGATGCTAGGGGGCAGTGCTGAGTGTCTGTGATTCAGATGAACTGCCCCGTATATCTGGGAGTTTGGTGAGCTGGGCCTATATAGAGACCTTGGCACCGGTCTGGCTTTGAATGCCGTTCGTTCTGCTTTGGGAGGCAGGTTGTTGAACTCATCTGCTAGTTTTTTCTCTCTTTTCTTTTGCTCTCTTTCAATGAAGCTAAATGGTTGCTGCGGAAGTGGAGAGGCATGTCTTTGAGTGCCTTGTTGTTGGTGGTTTCCATGGTGACCGTGATCCATTTGGTTGATTAGATTTGTTTGTCTCTGCAGCTTATTTGGTCGCTTATTGATGATGTCATAGAAGAGCAAGTAAGTGGAAGCAGGAGCCGGCTTAGCGCGAAACTTCTTGCCACGTTCTTTCAACTCGTCCAGCTCTTTCTTCAGTCTCTCATTTTCTAACTCCATCTCAGAGCGGGTTTTCACATTGCGGCGTTTGCGATCCTCCTCACGAAGCATCATGCGAAACGGTTTGGGAATGGTTACTTTAGAATTCTGTCTCAGGCTGTCCATTACCTGATTGGCTGCACTGTGAGATGAGTTCTGCTGGGAGTGACACAACTTCCTGTGCTCCTCTATTGAGTTCTGCTGCGCCTCCTGTGCCTGCTGTGGAAAAAAAAAAGCAAATTAAATGTTAGATTTTTGTACTTTGTCTTTGCTATTAGAACTGTTCTGTGCAACTCTTCGTACCAATCACAATTCAGACTTTTGAGGTTTTGGTTTTTAAATTGGATGAAAAAAAATTAAAATAAACTTAATATTACAAAATAATGTGTGATAGGATGTTGTTTTCAGTAATGTGCAATGCATACATATCTAATAAAAAAATGTGTTTTAGGGTTGCATGACACTTAAAGAATTATAATTTACAGTTGTGGTTCTCAACCAGAAACCTGGGGCCCACTGAGGGGCCTCAGCAAACTTCCAGGGTCTAAATAGGTCTGAAAATGATTTAAATCTGGCTATGTTAATATAATTAAAATGCTAAAATAAAGATGTACAATATTAAACTGACATAATTTTTCTGATTTTATTTCTGTTACAACAGATTTACATGTCAGCTTAGATAGGAGGGAGGGGGGGGGATATGTTGGGAACCAATGATATACAGTGTTTTTTTTAACAATTACTTTCCTATTTTTCAAATTTAATTACAAATTGAATTCTCAGCATAACATTGAGTGATTGAAATGTTTAAATATTAACATGAATTTCAGAACGTCTCAGTATTTGGTTCATCCCCCTTATGCTTTAAAGGCACAGGATGAAAGATATTTGGATTAAAATGTCCAAAAAACACTAGAACAATGTTTTGTGTATTTTGTTGACTTGTGTACTTTATCCAAAATGTTTTCAACAATGTTTAAAACCAGAGAAATCCATAATTTTAACCAGTGTAACGTCCCGAGTCATTGCCTCGCCAGCCAATGTCGTCATATCTCCGTCACCCTCGATTTCCGGGTATGTGTTTTATTAGACAGGTGAACAACTGTTTGGATACCTTTATAAACAGAAAAATAATTGTTATATATTAGCTCAACACGGTTTGTCTTTTTGTTTGAATCTCTTGATTCTTGATTTACCGCGAGTAACATGTCTGAATCATGCCTCAGAGACAACACTATTTTATCAAGTGGCTAACATAGCAAAATCAGAAAGAGCTTAACAGTGACAGTAATACAGCATTTACCCTCCCATACAATATATTTTAAATTAATTAATTAATTAATAGTTTTAATTTCATGTCATTTAGCAACACAAGTCATCCAGCTTTTATTAATATGATATTCTAATATCAGTCTAGTTTACTGCAATGTGGAACAAGTAGAGTGACATTATAACATAACTTTCAAGACACTCAAATTTATTTTTAGTATGATTACTTTGACCAAGTAAAACAGAGCTGCATTACCCCACAGTTTTAATTCAACAAATAAAGTGACCTGTACGAGTAGTAATTCAGAACTTGCAGCTGTTCCTTTAGAATGAAATAAAATAAAGTGATTTTAAGTGATCAAATGTAAGGGGAAGGAGGCGGGAACCGGCAGACATTAAACGTAACTTTAATCGTAAAACAAACAAACAACAAAACGAAAGGAGCTGCAGCGGCCGACTGCGGAACATAAGCATAATAAAAGCTCAGAAGCTCCTTCATGGGACTCGAGACCTGTGTGTCACGCAGGTGTCTATCATTAGCATTCGCTTCACCGGCCTCGTCCACTCTCAGCCCCGACCTGCTTCACACCACAGTAACGTTAATAAAACTTGAATACATTATCCATGAATCCATGGATTATTGAATCCATGAACATGATTTCTGCCCGAGTCCCATTGGATTGTTTTCCATCGGCTGTGGAGGTGAAGACGACAACTCCCATGATTCCACGCTCATTCACGGCGTCATCAAGCTACGTCTTTGTTATTGTTTTTAATAAGTGACTTCTAGCGGCAAAACTTACATACTGTGCCTTTAATGACAGCAACACTTGAGCTGCATAAACTCCACATGTTTGTGTAACACCTGACTTGATGATCATGCTCTCCAGCATGATATGAGATGATCTGAAGTGCGTTATGTGCTTCAGTGGAAACAAGATCATCTGTACAGAGTTCACATGATTGTAACAACTTTTCTAATTTAATTAGTAACCTTTTCACTCTAGAGCGGTTTGGATATCTCAACTCCACCAGAATAACCCCAACGCATACAAAATAAACCATACACTGACTCATTGGTATTTTCAGAGGAAGTGGCCCCCGTTCTTCTTCTAGAAAGAACACTTTATTAGGAAAGGCCACTAAATGTTGTTGAATAAATTTAGACTGGTGACTAAATTGTACAGTAGGTTGGTTTTTGTAATGCACATAGTATATTTTATAACATTATGTCCAAATCTGCATATCTGTGCACCATAACAACCTTAAGTAAACTACAGTAAAGAACATTTATTGAAAAAAGTCACTTGAAAAGTCACATGTTCAGTCTGATCAGCACTTTATAAACAACTATAGTTCTGTCTATGTTCTCAGAGTGTTAAAAGGTTCTTGCATATGATGAACAAATCATTAAGTGAGATCATCTCAGCCTCCACACTGCTCTCATTTTCGGATTAATTCACTGACCTTTACCTTCAGAGAAGAATGACCATTCTGCAGACGTCCCACTGATACCTTGCTGCCAACCTGTATGGTACTACTGAAAGAGGTCAAAGGTCAGAGATCAAACATTGTGCGTGATCTCACTGTCTAGATACGATATAGTGAAGAAACCAAGTTACTTGGAATATTAACCATGCACTCTTTGGGAAAAATCTTTTTCAATGGGGTTCATTATAGAACCCTGGTCGCTGTGATTTTGCCAAGTAAGACATGTTCCTGGATCAACATATTTTGTTGATCCTGGA